ATAGGGGAAGGAGGAAGGGGGCCGGGCCCCTCTAGATGAGATCTAGAGGGGGGCGGCGGCCAAGGGGGGTGGCTTGCCCCCCAAGCAAAGGGGGGCGCCCCCTCTAGGGTTCCCCCCCCCCAACCCTAGGCGCATGGGCCCAAAGGAGGGATCTTCCCTAGCCCACTTGGGGCTGGTTCCCTTTCCTCTACGGCCCATGAGGCCCTCTGAGAGAGGTGGCCCCTCTCGGTGGACCCCCGAAACCCCTCCGGTGGCCCCGATATAATACCGATATGCCCCCGAACTTTTCCGGTGACCGTATGACAACTTCCCATATATAAATCTTCAATTCCGTAACTCCTCGTGACGTCCTGGATCTCATCCGGGACTCCGAACAACATTCGGTAATCACATACAAGTCTTCCTAATGACCCTAGCGTCATCGAACCTTAAGTGTGTAGACCCTACGGGTTCGGGAACCATGTAGACATGACCGAGACAACTCTCCGGCCAATAACCAACAGCGGGATCTGGATACCCATGTTGGCTCCCACACGTTCCACGATGATCTCATCGGATGAACCATGATGTTGAGGATTCAAGCAATCCCGTATACAATTCCCTTTGTCAATCGGTACGTTACTCGCCCGAGATTCGACCGTCGGTATCCCAATACCTCGTTCAATCTCATTGCCGGCAAGTCACTTTACTCGTTCCGTAACACATCATCATCTGACCAACCCTTAGTCACATTGAGCTCATTACGATGATGTCTTACTGAGTGGGCCCAGAGATACCTCTCCGTTCATACGGAGTGACAAATCCCAGTCTCGATTCGTGCCAACCCAACAGACACTTTCGTAGATACCCATAGTGCACCTTTATAGTCACCCAGTTACGTTGTGACGTTTGGCACACCCAAAGTATTCCTACAGTATCCGGGAGTTTCACAATCTCATGGTCTAAGGAAAAGATACTTGACATTAGAAAAGCTTTAGCAGACGAACTACACGATCTTGCGCTATGCTTAGGACTGGGTCTTGTCCATCACATCATTCTCCTGATGATGTGATCCCGTTATCAATGACATCCAATGTCCATGGTCAGGAAACCGTAACCATCTATTGATTAACGAGCTAGTCAACTAGAGGCTCACTAGGGACATGTTGTGGTCTATGTATTCACACATGTATTACGATTTCCGGATAACACAATTATAGCATGAACAATAGACAATTATCATGAACAAGGAAATATAATAATAACCATTTTATTATTGCCTCTAGGGCATATTTCCAACAGTGGCCCCCTGACCGTGATTCTTTCGCCAGTATTTTTATATATTCCAAAAATATTCTCCGTTGATTTTCAGGTCATTCCGTGAACTTTTATTTCTGCACAAAAACAACACCATGGTAATTCCGCTGAAAACAGCGTCAGTCCGGGTTAGTTCCATTCAAATCAAGCAAGTTAGCATCCAAAACAAGGGCATAAGTGTTTGGAAAAGTAGATACGATGGAGACATATCAAATACATAGACAAATAGAGTGTCCCTAGTATGCCTCTACTTGACTAGCTCGTTAATCAAAGATGGTTAAGTTTCCTGACAATAGACATGTGTTGTCATTTGATCAACGAGATCACATCATTAGAGAATGATGTGATGGACAAGACCCATCCGTTAGCTTAGCATAATGATTGTTTAGTTTTATTGCTATTGCTTTCTTCATGACTTATACATGTTCCTCTGACTATGAGATTATGCAACTCCCGAATACCGGAAGAACACCTTGTGTGCTATCAAACGTCACAACGTAACTGGGTGATTATAAAGATGCTCTACAGGTGTCTCCGAAGGTGTTTGTTGGGTTGGCATAGATCAAGATTAGGATTTGTCACTTCGTGTATCGGAGAGGTATCTCCGGGCCCTCTTGGTAATGCACATCACTATAAGCCTTGCAAGCAATGTGACTAATGAGTTAGTTGCGAGATGATGCATTACTGAACGAGTAAAGAGACTTGCCGGTAATGAGATTGAACTAGGTATGGTGACACCGACGATCGAATCCCGGGCAAGTAACATACCGATGACAAAGGGAATAACGTATGTTGTTATGCGGTTTGACCGATAAAGATCTTCATAGAATATATAGGAGCCAATATGAGTATCCAGGTTCCGCTATTGGTTATTGACCGGAGATATGTCTTGGTCATGTCTACATAGTTCTTGAACCCCTAGGGTCCGCACGCTTAATGTTCGATGACGATTTGTATTATGAGTTATGTGTTTTGGTGACCGAAGTTTCTTCAGAGTCTCGGATGAGATCACGGACATGACGAGGAGTCTCGAAATGGTCGAGAGGTAAAGATTCATATATTGGAAGGTTATATACGGACACCGGAATGGTTTCGAAGAAGATCGGGGATTTTTGGAGTACCTGGAGGTTACCGGAACCCCCCCCCCCCGGGAAAGTTAATGGGCCTAATGGGCCATAGTGGAGGAGAGGAGGCAGCCACAGGAGGTGGCGCCCCCCCCCAACCCAATCCGAATTGGACAAGGGTTGGGGGCGCGACCCCCCTTTCCTTCTTCCTCTCCACCTCTTTCCCCTTTCCCCCTCCGTTGGAAGGAAGGAGGGGGGTCAAATCCTACTTGGGCTAGGAGTCCAAGTAGGACTCCCCCCTTGGCGCGCCCCTCCTAGGCCACCGTCCTCCTCCTCCCCCCTGTATATACGGGGACGGGGGGCACCCCAAAGGGACACCAAAATTTGTCTTAGCCGTGTGCGGTGCCCCCCTTCACAGTTTACTCCTTCGGTCATAGCGTCATAGTGCTTAGGCAAAGCCCTGCGTGGATCACATCACCATCACCGTCGCCACGCCGTCGTGCTGACGGAACTCTCCCTTGACCCTCTACTAGATCAAGAGCTCGAGGGACGTCATCGAGCTGAACGTGTGTTGAACACAGAGGTGCCGTACGTTCGGTACTTGGATCGGTTGGACCGTGAAGACGTTCGACTACATCAACCGCGTTAACATAACACTTTCGCTTTCGGTCTACGAGGGTACGTGGACACACTCTCCCCTCTCGTTTCTATGCATCTCCTAGATATATCTTGTGTGATCGTAGGAATTTTTTTGAATTACTACATTTCCCAATAGTAAATACCTATTACGCAAGAACTGTATCCAAACCCCTTTCGTCTCCACCGACAACCTATAAAGCCACTTGCTAAGCATGCTCTTATTTTTAACTTCGAGATTTTCAATGCCCAAGCCCCCTTGGTCCTTTGGCCTACAAATAATATCCAATTTAGCCAGTCTATATTTGTTGTTCTCGTCAATCTGCAAGAAAAAACAGAGATCGATAAAAATCCAATCTTTTTCGTACCCCTACGGGTACCTCAAAGAAGGATAGGAGAAGCATCGGCATGCTCGTGAGTACCGAGTTGATGAGGACCAAGCTCCCCCCCCCTCCATAAGATAAGAGCTTGCCCTTCCAGCTGCTCAACTTATTTTCAAATCGATCTTCAATACATTTCCACTCTTTATTAGTGAGTTTACAATGGTGTACTGGGATGCTCAAATAAGTAAAAGGTAAAGAGCCTAGCTCGCAACCGAACAACTATTTGTAGTTATCCTGTTCATCTTTGGCACGCCCAAAACGGAATAATTCACTCTTGTTGAAATTAATTTTCAACCTGGACATTTCTTCAAAAAGGCATAAAACTAACTTCCTGAGGCTTCAGACATAACAGATCAGAGGAGGTTCTACAAGAAACTTGTCAGAAATTGAGAGAAGGCCTCTAGTTTCCCTTGTCCTGCTTTGATCGTAGGATCATCCATAACTTGACAATTTTCAAGTTACTCCACCACACATGCTTCTTAGACAGTTATAGTGCATTATTAAATATCATGGATCTTATAAAACTTCCATGCATAAACAATGTTAATAGTAGAAATTATTTCTATCTGAAAACCCCAATCTAGCTATTGATTCATGATCATTGCCTAATTTCACACCAAAATGCTCAATGATAATGCCAGACAGCTCTGGCAACAACACAGTGAAACATCAGGTGATTAATAAATTCATCCTCGCCACAAAACCCACAATTAAATGGTTTAGTTTGTGCCCTTTCCTAAGGTTATATTTAGTCACCAACTTATCAAGAGAAAACAACCAAAGGAAGATGTTAGATGGACATTTAGACTTGTCACTACAAGAATATAAAATGGGTTGAACTCCTTTAAAACAGATCGCATGACACAATGAGCTAGTGAAGTGGTGACTGGGATGACCTTTGTTCTCTACCCCCTACTACAGATGTATATAGACGGTGTAGAGTCAATCATTTTACCCCCTATGTAGTCTCTATTGCAATATCTAAAAAGACTTATATTTAGAAACGGAGGGAGTAGGTGCCAGATCAAGGAATAAGATTCACTAGAAGTTATTATTGGAACTTAGAAAATGGGTGTGGCTAAGTCTCAGTCGACTTAAACTTAATCAAGTCTTAGTCAAGTGATATACTTCCTCCGTCTCAAAATTTAAGACAAGAATTTAAGACAAATCTAAGACAAGAATTTTGGGACGGAGGAAGTATAGTATATAAGAAGAAAAAAGAAAAACCGAAAAAAAAATTGTACGAATCTTCATGCAAGATCAAAGGCATACAATATCGACTGAGACATAACGAAGTTTTAGTTGACTGAGACTTAGCAAAACTGTTAAAAAAATATGGCAGTAATACATTGTTGAATTTTTAATAAGTTCAAATGATTCCTTTGAAAAGAAAAAACTTATTTGATCCTCGACGACCCTGCGCGTCCATACGAGCTGTACCTCTAGAAGACTCTGGAACGCGTTTCCTACTGCAAAAGAACACGCGTACAGAATAAGCCACTCGCGCCCTAGACAGCCAAACCTTCCCCGAAATCCCAATCCAGACCATCAGAGCTTCCCCCAAATTCCCCACGCCGCGCCGCGCCGCCGATCGAGCGCAGAATCTCGAGCGCCGCCCGCGATGCCGAAGAAGATGGGCGTCAACTCCAAGGCGGAGGCCGCCCGCGAGCGCCGCTCCGCCGAGGAGTCGGACCGCCGCCAGCGCGCCGAGCGCGCCAAGGAGGAGGAGTACTGGCGCGAGGCCGAGGGGTCCAAGTCCCGCGCCGCGCGCCGCCGCGAGGAGGAGGCCGAGAAGCGCGCCGAGGCCGCCGCCCGCAAGGCCGAGAACCGCCGCCTCGCCGAGGCCGAGGCCGCCGCCGTCGCCTCCGCCGTCTCCAAGACGGACGCCCGCAAGGCCAACCGCGTCGGCGCCCCGGCCCCCAAGGTCACCGAGGCCGAGCTCGTGCGCCGCCGCGAGGAGGAGCGCCTGCGCCTCGAGCGCGAGGCCGAGGCCGCCAAGAAGCGCGCCGCGCGCACCGCCGAGGAGGAGGAGTACGAGCGCGTCGTCCTCGTCGCCAACACCAACAGGGATGACTCCGTCATCGAGGCCTCCGGTGTCGACGAGGCCATCGTGCGGCTGTCGCTTGTTGACACAGACGCGGCCTTGCCCGCTGACAGGCATCCTGAGCGCCGCCTCAAGGCGTCATTCAAGGTATATTCTTTAGTATTTGCCCAAAGTTCAGATTTGCTTACTGAACTGCTGCATAAGTTTGAAAATTTGATGATTACATTATAATCACATACAAACACACACAAAAGAAGTTTGTGCTAAGGACTGTAGGATTAACCAAACGGCGGTTTGATTTTATTGTTCCATGCACATTTGGTCTGCTGACAGTGATAGTTATAGTTTAGTTGTGAATTGTGAGAATGCCTAATAGTGACTTCTTCTTGTACTAACTGCGCATATGAGCGCTATGGTACTTGTTTGCAACTGTTCGATGTTCCATGAACATGATTAGAGACATAAGCAAGGATGAAATGAGTTGATATCTGATGGCCTAGAGCTAATTGCTCCCTGAACATAATGAGTGGAGTATCTTGTATGGTAGTTATTGGTTTATTACTTGTATGCTAAAAACCCGTAGGCTGAGGAGCATAAGGGGTAATTCATCCACAGGGCTGATTAGCTAGTTGGGGAGGCAACATATTACCACTTCCACTGCCAGTCTCAAGGACCATATTTGATGTACTAATCATAGTTTAAAAAGGCAGCAAGCGCTTAAGTGCGCCTAGGCTCTAGGCAATAGGAAAACGCCTAGCGCATAACTGCACATAAGCATGCGCTTTGATGAGAAAAACGCAAGGCGGTGGCAAAACGCACAATTAACGCCTAGCGCTTTTTTGAACTATGGTACTAATGCATTTAGTCTTGCGATTTTCTGACTATCTTAGTTCAAAGTTCAAACACAAACTTTTGATTGGTAGATGAATTTTAATCATGTCACTTACAAGAGTGTTCTGCATTATGTGCCATGTTACTTTGCAAATCCTACATTGGATGCGATTTATTGTACTCGTAATGAGTCATTTAGTTTCATGTCATATGCTATGGTTGAAATTTTATGCTCATTGGAGATCTGTTGCTTAAGTACATTTCGAATTATCTTTACGACAGGCATTTGAAGAGGCAGAGCTCCCTAGGCTGAAGGAAGAAAAGCCAGGCCTAACACTGAAACAGTACAAAGACATGATATGGAAGCTATGGAAGAAATCCCCAGACAACCCTCTGAACAAGGTTTGTTCATATAATTCTATATGCTACTTGTTTTCCAAATATATTTCTTATTTGTGCCCCATATGTTCTTGGTTCATTGAGTCTGTTGCCTTTAGCATTATAACATGTTATTTTGAAATTATGTTGCATAAATGTAGTCTAGAAAGAACTGCTGGTAATCAATACATCACCGGCATCTACAAAAGAATAGGAAGAGAATGGGGGCATACCTCGACAATCAGCAATTGCATCAGATTTATTTAATATTTTTAATGAAAATAGTTTCCAACAGAAAGTAACCCCAAAGTGATGATTCTGGATATTTTCCTGTAATTTAACTTGGAAAGCAGAAGTGGTGGTGTATGAATTATGATACTCTAGAGGTTTGTTGTCTTACCTGAGTTGCGACTAATTATCATGTGCAGGCAACTGAGTGAGGATGCAGTCCCAGTTTCTTACCGAATGATATGGATTCTAAGGTGAGTTTCCATGGCTTTAAATTAATAGGCGCCTGTGGCTTTCATAGTTCATGGAACAATAACGTGCCTTAACACGCAGGCATCCAATGGAACAGAACTGCAGCTGCCTCAGCATGTTTGTCCGTGGAGTGAAATGATGTGTGACATAGCTTGAATCAAATACTCAAGCTTCTCAGCTAATAATCAACAAATCGATGCAATGTATATTTTGAGGGTTTGCTTTTGATTAGAGAGATTTTGTCCAAGTTCATGTTGTACTTAGTTATGTTTGGGGCATGTTAGTACTTGAATTTTGAACAGTTGGGCTAATACAGGATGATTATGCCATTTTCTTCGGTCTATGTCTTCCGTAATCGTTGTGAGTTTTTCATCTGGTCATTGCGATTGTAGTGAAAAGTAGTATTGGTGAGGAACTGCTGCTAAAAAATATTGACAATGCAGCTTTTGCCTGAAAACAAACCCTTCCTGAAACATTTCATTGCTGAGGGCTAGGCGTCGGGATAGAAAATGCGTAGGCGTGACAATGGTTTTTGGCGTTGGGGGTGGTTGTGAGGGGAGTGTCCAGATGGATCATGGATCCGGTGGGGAGCAATCTGCTCTGTCGCTCGAAGAAATTGGAATCATGTGATGCATCATGGACCGTTGCAGTTTTGTACAGGCTCTGGCCTAGAAGGGTGTGACGGTTCCTTGCATCTATCTGAACCGAAAGTATGGTGAAAATCTGAGTGGCATTGCCGAATTTGCAAAATGTGTTTGGCTGGGCAATATATTGATTTTCAACTGTCTCCTTGTAGGATTTGATTGTATAGAAATCTTTTCTGGCTGCTGTCTTCAGCGATTCCGAGGAGTTTGCATTTCTATGTTTAAACATGTTTCAGAAGCGATTGTCTTCATACGTACGTTGTAAGTTGCGGTGCTTACGCGGGGCGGATAATGGTTGTACAAGGCAATTTGAGACCTCATTTAAGTTTGGTAAAAATATGTTCCTTGTGTCAAGTAGATTCCCAGCGTAGAACAAATCTTCAATCATTGTATTATTATCAGCTGTTGCCATGGGCACTTTTGATCTTTGTTACATGTCTCCAAGCAACAACCGATACAATAAAGACCCACACACCACACGTATACAAATCCCACACCAATCACCTCACACTATGGCATCAATGGAACGAATCGAAGCTGCGAACATCTTGCTCCAGAGTACCAATCATAGTTCATCTGTAGCCATTCTGCTCATACGTCGGCGGCTTCGGCCCGAGCAGGCTGGTCATCATCCTGAGCACACAACACAAAGGCAGCATTCAAAGGTCAGTACTCATCAATCTATTGTTCTACAGATAATTTCATGCATTGCTGGAAGGAGGAAGAACCGAAGAGTGACTAACCTTTGGACCAGACCCTGTGGCTTTCTGCAGCAGCACCCAAAACCCCCAAACAACAAACGGGTCAGTCAGTTGCTTCCCCGGTCTTTCCTCAGTAAATTTCGTAAGAGTGCGCACACTTGCCTTTCTCTCGGCCTTGCCACGATCTGGTTACGCTCCGCCGCTGCGCCTGTCGTGGTCGCGGGTCTTGGAGGCTGCTCACCTACTCTGGGGACGGTCTTCACCTGAAAGAGAAGATGATATTGGTCACTGATCGTCAGACCACCTTTGGCTATCATCTTGTTTGCATTGTGCATTGGTCATAACTCACCAGATTCCTGAACTGAAGGTTGTAGAACATCTGCATGTAGCGTTGTTTCGCCACTCTCTCTTCCTTGTTCAGAGTCCTCCAGAAGCCATACATTGACCCCATGTTCAGCACCTTGGTTGCGTAAATCTTCCATGTGTAGCTGCCATCATGATATATACCACATGGTTAGTTTTTTTTACCAGGTGACAGAAAGACCATTCGTGAGGTAGGATAAGAGTCGATGCCTACCATTCATAGATGCGCTGAAGCCCGGCAGTGGACACCTTGTTCCAGTAGCCTGGGTCTTCCTTGCACTTCTGGAAGAAGTCTGCAATCTTGGTGCCTGCCTCCCTGCCGTTCATTGGGTTTATGTGGAAACCCGAGACACCATCAACGATGATCTCTGCCGGCCCTCCTTGGTTTGTTGCGAAGGTTGGCAGCCCGCAGTTCATCGCCTCGATGACTGTTAGCCCAAATGCTTCATAGAGAGCAGGCTGAAACAAAAGAAAAGGCTAGTGTTGAGGTTTTATTTCAAGAAAGAAAGAAAGGGTTAGAGTTGAGGTTTCATCCACTGGTTGGTTACCCCAAAGTATACACTTCAGAGGATGGAGGCATATATTGGTCGTGATCAAACTATTAGGTCTGTGGGTTATTGTATACCTGAACAAATGCACCCTTTGTATCTGCAATGTAACGGTACAGCTCGCCATTACGGACACGGTCAGTCTGAGCCTTGATCCAGCGAATCTGTCCTTTCAGTTGGTACTTGTCGATCAAATTGTGCATCTTGTTGATCTCGTCTATCTCTTCCCGGTCCTTGGACTGTGCAGCATTCAGGAGGCCTGCAACGACGACGAGGTTCACGAGGTCCCTGACCTTCTTGTTCTGACCATACCACTCGACTAGTCCAGTGATGTTCTTCACCTTGTCCAGCCTCGCCATCGAGAAGATGATTGGCTTACTTCTGTCTGCCAGATACCCTCTGATTTGACAGCGTCACAACAGTTAGCAACTTCATCTGATCAAATGGAAGTATGTATGTTTCAGTGTTTGTAAGGAACTTACATGTGTTCATCAGTGTCCTCCTTACTGTACAGCAACTCCTCAATCTGTGGGTGTAAAGCTGTCAGCCGCTTCTGCTTCTGTGTGAAGGGGAAGTAGACGGACTGATCGGCGCCAGGTGCAGCAATGTTGAACTTCGGGTCGAAGACATTGATGCCCGTGGCGTAGCGGCAAAGGCCGGGCATTGTGAATGCATAGTGGTGTTCATACTGGCCAGGCTTCTCTTTGCTGCATCACACATATTTATGTTAAGAAGTTCTAGGAGTAAGTACTTCGAGCACTGAAGTTATTACAATAAAATTCAGTATACAGACCTTCCAGCGATTTCTTGGTATGTGCTAGTGATGATAAAGTCAGTAGTGTTCATGGCGATCATATCAGCAGTGAATTGGCAGGAGAAGTGGTACTTCTGGTCCAGCTCTCTCCACTTGGAATCCGAGTCCTCATACTTCGTCTTTTCGAGAGCATGCGCAATCGTTCCCTGTCAGGAAGATCATTTAGGGATGTGAAATCAGCTGTGATCGGTGGCAAAAGATCTTGAGGAATCCTAATAGGATTGGACATTGTCTCACCTGTGTGACTCCTAGTTTGCTTGACATGAGGGACGCCACCAAGTTGCCATCAGTGTAGTTGCCAATGATCAAGTCTGGTTTGCCCTCTAGAATGTCAAGAATTTTGGCAGAGGCATCCTGAAATTGCACCACGTTTAAGTTTTACTGGAGATCTCTTAACACAAGAGACAAGAGTGCTGATATTAATAATTTGTAGGTGGCAAACCTGAGCATATCTCTCTAGGTAAGGGTAAATGTCGAACCGGGAAACCCACTGGCGCAAATCCTTCCCATCTTCAGTCTTGAACGGCACACGTAGTATGTGTGAATATTTTGTATTTTCAACTGGTTCGAGCTCCACATTACACTTTGTGCCTTTGGAATCTGGTATCAGTCTTGTTAGCTGCAGCACAAGAGTAGACATTAGTTTATGAAGTTCTACAGATACAGAGATAGCAGGAATGGCTGTGATCACGGTGTAAATAGCTTTACCACAAGAATCTTTGGTGTTATATGCAAACCCTGCAGCTTGATTCTTTGCAGAAGCTCCTCTTCCATGGACCTGACTTGGTCCAGGATGTAGACAACCTGTTACGGAGAAACCATGCCTTCAGAGTATGATATAAGCTGATCAGAGTATTATTTCCTACGATTTGATGATATCGATACCTGACCGCCGGTGTCTGGCAAGCCTAGAACCTTCTCCTGGCCAAAGTAACCATGGATAGAGAAGACAACAATGTTAAATATGGTTGGAACCCTGCTGAAGAACTTCTCCATGTTGATAGGATCCGGTGCCTGGAGCACTTCAGATAGGAAATTCAGTGTCTCCTTGCACGTCTCAGCATTTTCACCCCACCCTTTCTCCAATCCCCATTCTTGAAATCTGCAGGACCATTGTAAAGAAACCTTAGGCATTTTTGGCACCATAGATTTTTTTTAAGCTACTTAATTTGGCTGTACATTACCTTTGTTCAAATTTCAAATATGGTGTGAATTTTGGCAGCCCGCTAACAAAAACTTCTGCAAGGAGCAGCGCCGTCTGAAGCTTGTTCACCGTGTCGATTGTGTCGTTAACCATCAGCTTCTGCATGTTTGCAAGGATATATGAGTCTAACCAGTCTGTTAATTTCAATAATCTCTGTGGTGTGAATGGCTGATCTTCTTACCTCGCCGCGGTAATTCAGAGTGAGTAAATAGTCGAGCAACGGCTTCATGCTTTCAGGCTTGCCATTCAGCTTTGAAGACATGAACTTGGAGACAAACTGCATCCCGTTCCCTATGGATGAGGGAAGTGTCAGACGTGGCGTTGAGAGGTCAAGAGCGCCGAAATCAACCTCCAGCGAGTTGTCATCCTTGGCCCTGAAATTCACATGAGCAAACAATTTTCTTTTTCAGTTTCACAGCTACATAGAA